TGCGAAGGAAGTACCAGGGTTCAACAAAGGCCAAACACGCTCATTTTCAATCTTTGCGACGGGAATTTGAGATTCTTGCAATGGGGGAGGGTGAATCCATCAATGATTACTTTGCAAGAACCCTAGCTATTACAAATCACATGACTACACAAGGAGAAAGAATGGAGCAGGTAGCGGTGGTAGAAAAAATCCTGAGATCCATGCCTGCAAAATTCAATTACGTAGTGTGTTTTATTGAAGAATCTAATGATGTAACAATCATGTCAATCGACGAGCTTCAGAGCAGTCTTCTGGTACATGAACAAAGAATGCAGGGGGCAAAAGGAACATGTTGAAGAACAGGCTCTCAAGATGAGTAATACTGGTAGTGGCAGAGGAACAAATGCTTCAAGAAGTCGTGGTCGAGGAAGACAAAGTAAATAATTTGTTGAATGCTATAGGTGCCACAAGCTCGGACATTTTATCACAATGAATGTCCTGAGTGGGAAGAAAATGCAAACTATGTAGAATTTAAAGAAGAAATCCTGTTGATGGCATATTCTGAAGGAAATAGAGCAAGCAAGGAAGAAATGTGGTACATTGATAGTGGCTGTAGCAATCACATGGTGGGAATTAAAGATTGGTTCTTTGACTTTGATGACAAGTTCAGGGAATATGTGAGACTTGGAAACGGTTCAAAGATGGCAGTTACGGGAAGAGGAAATGTGAAGCTGTGCCTTGAAGGAAGAATACATGTGATAACGGATGTGTATTATATACCAGGTCTAGCTAACAACTTGCTCAGTGTAGGTCAGTTACAACAGAAGAATATCACAATTGTATTCAAGAACAATATGTGTCAATTATTCCATGAATAAAATGGCTTGATTCTGAAAACAGAAATGACAAGTAACAAGATGTATGTTGTCAGAATACCAGTTACGACTTCCAAATGTTTTCAAGTCTCATCCTTGGAAGAAACAAATCTATGGCATAACAAACATGCACACCTCAGCATAAAGGGCCTGAAGACTCTGCATCAAAAGCAGATGGTTAAAGAACTACCAAAAATGGATGACATCGAGGGCAAGTGTGATGACTGCTTAGTTGGAAAGCAACACAGAAATAGCATACCAAAGCAAGCAACTGGAAAGCCTCCAAGAAGCTTGAACTGATTCATTCAGACATCGGCGGACCTATCACTCCCAAATCAAATGCTGGAAACAATTATTTTATTACCTTTACTGATGACTACAGTAGGAAGACTTGGATTTATCTCTTGAAAAATAAGTATGAAACCTTAGATGTATTTAAAAGATTTAAATCCCTAGTTGAACATGAGTCTGGCAGCCTTATTTTGTGTCTTAGGACTGATAGGGGAGGTTAATTTACATCAACTGAATTCAACAATTTTTGTGATTCAAATGGGGTGAAAAGACAATTAAATTCAGCATACACCCCTCAACAAAATGGGGAGTCTGAGAGAAAAAACCGAACATTACTCAATATGGTAAGAAGCATGATGAATGCTAGGAGTGTGCCTAAGGAATTCTGCCCTGAAGCTGTAAAATGGGCATGATATGTAATGAACAGATGTCCCATACATGTTGTGAATGATATTACACCAGAAGAGGCATGGAGTGGAATGAAACCCTTTGTGCATCATTACAGGATTTTTGGTTGCTTAGCTCATGTCCATGTCCGTGATGTTTGCAGAAGGAAATTGGATAACAAGAGCATCAAGTGTTTTCTACTTGGTGTTAGTGAAGAGTCAAAGGCCTACAAACTCTACAATCCAATTGAAAGGAAGGTACTTGTTAGTAGAGATGTTATTTTTGAGGAATCAAAAGGATGGAATTGGAACAAGCCAAAGAACATCAAACAAGGTGATCAAATAAGTGATGCCGAAGACATTGAGGAGACTGAGATGCAAACTGATGAGGATGAGTTGGTCAGCAGTGATGGGGCAGGAAGCAGTCATGAAGGAAGTCCTGTTTGTGAACATATAAATGACGAGGCTACTATTGAGGAAGAAAATACACATGGTCCATCTGCAAGGAGAAGAAAACCTCCTGGGTAACTCAGAGATTATGCGACTGACTTGGGGAACATGGAGAACCAGACTGATCATCTTCAGAATTTAGCCATTTCTATGTTTAGTTCTCATGGGGATCCAAGCTCCTATGAAGAAGTGGTGAAATCAGCTACTTGGAGGAAAGCTATGGATAGTAAGATGCAGTCTATTGAAGACAATAATACTTGGGAGCTCACAACACTTCCTCAAGGGATGAAAGCAATAGGTGTAAAGTGCATTTACAAGACTAAATATAATGAGAAGGGACAGGTGGAGAAATACAAAGCAAGGATGGTTGCAAAGGGATACACACAAAAGTATGGAATTGATTACAGTGAGGTCTTTGCACCTATGGCAAGGTGGGATACTATAAGAGCAATTCTTGCTTTGGCAGCACACAACAACTGGTGTGTATTTCAATTAGATGCAAAAAGTGCTTTTCTGCATGGAGACCTAATTGAGGATGTGTATGTGAAACAACCATTGGGCTATCACAAAGGTGAAAATGATCAAGTCTACAAACTGAGAAAGGCTCTATATGGGTTAAGGCAGGCACCCAGAGCCTAGTACAGTAAGATTGAATCTTACTTTAACATAGAACAATTTGTGAAATGCTGACATGAACCAACCTTGTTTGTCAAACATGGAACCAAAGGAAGTATTCTAATTGTTAGCTTGTATGTAGATGATCTTATCTACACTAGCAATGATGAAGAAATGAGGGCTGCATTCAAACAGTCTATGAAAAGTAAATTTTCCATTACTGACTTAGGAAAAATGAAGTATTTTCTGGGAGTGGAGGTCAATCAAAGTGGTCAAGGAATATTCATTCATCAGCAAAAATATGCCTCTGAAATTCTGACAAGGTTTGGCATGGAAGAATGTAATAAATTCATCAGTCCTATTGTTCCTGGAAGCAAGCTTGTGAAAGATGAAAAAGGAAAGGCTACATATGCTACAGTGTACAAGAAGATGATTGGCAGTCTAATGTATTTGTTAGCTGCAAGTCCTGATATGACCTTCTCAGTTTGCTTAGCTGCAAGATACATGGAGAGACCTACTAAACTGCATGTTGCTGCTGTCAAAAGAATTCTCAGATATTTGAAGGAAACTATGAGTTTTGGCATTCTGTACAAGAGAGAAGATAATGGTGATTTGATATTGCAGGGCTGGACTGATTCTGACTATGCAGGTGATGACGATGATAGAAAAAGCACATCTGGATATGTTTTCACAATGGGACTAAGTGCAGTATGTTTGTCATCAAAAAAGCAGCCCATTGTCACATTGTACACAACTGAAGCTGAATTTGTGTCAGCTACCTCTAGTGCTTGTCAATGTATTTGGTTGAGGAATGTGTTAAATCATTTGGATATGAAGTAAAACGGTTGCACTACTATTAACTGTGACAACAGTTCCTCGATCAAGCTATCAAAGAACCTTATTTTGCATGGAAGATGCAAACATATAGATGTAAGATATCATTTTCTGAGAGAACTCAACAATGATAGAGTTATTGAATTGAAATTCTGCAAATCACATGATCAATTGGCAGACATTATGACTAAGGCTCTGAAGGTTGAAGCCTTTTTCAAACTAAGGGTGGGCTTATGAATGTGTGACTCAGCCAACATTATGTGATCTGTTGATATGCTGTTCTTCCTGTTTTGTTCTGCTTTGTTTTGTTTCTTGTTCTTTTGCCTCTCTTATTGGCTTAGTTGATCATTTGTTGTATAAAGATAATTTAAGGGAGGATTTTGTTGTGTATTAGACTTGTTGGACCTAATTATCTTTGGCCCATTTATTTGTATTGTATATTCTTTGTAACCTATATATGACACATAGACTCATTGAATAAGATAAGAAAGTTAGAACCCCTTTTAACAAACATGAAAAACATGCAATTTATATTCTGGAGGAATCATGATGAATATTGGCTCGAAAATACAAACTAGTTTCTTTTTTTCCTATATAATCAAAGAAAATTTTTTAAACATCATCATCGATTCTTTATTTCTTGACTTTTGCCCACCCCATGTTTTCAATTTTGTAGCAATCTCGGTATCTTTCTACCACACCCTACACATGTATTAATGTCTTCTTTCTTTTTATTCATTCCATTTCTATTCTTCTTCCAACATGGTCTTACTTAGGGAGTGTAACGAAAATAGGAATGTGGTTGAAACCAAATATCATGAAGAGATGTATGAGTTGTGGATTCGTTAAATTGTAAATAAAAACAGTCATATGAAATTATTGATTAAGACTTTTTTTGGAGAGATGTTTAAGAGTAATGGTCATAGTAGTGATAGTAGTAGCTCGGATAATGACTCGAATAGGAATAGGGATAATGATGTTGTTTTAGTCTATTTTTTCTTAGGCTCGGCGAGAAGGAAAGTGAGAATGGAGATGGCCTCGAATTGATACAAACACTACTATAAATACTACTTTTCCTAACAAAAATTTACTTAGAAGATCCAACTAATCGAAATAAAATCACTTAAAAATGTGACTAATTTTAATTTAAGAAATATTTCACATATTCCATCGGTTCTGAAATTTACAGAGGAAAAAAATCTGTCAAAAATAAGCTTTGATTCCCATCCATTACAGTTTTATAATTTATTTGTATTTATAATGAGACATTCCTTTTTTATTTTAAAATTAGTGTATTGGGTGGGAGAACCTCATAGTTTATATACTACCCTTACAAGAAATTGTGGAATTAGCTAACTTAATTGAACTACCAACTATGTTTATTTTTAATCTTAATTGTCTTTAAAGTCATTTATTTAACTTTGATTAAAAAACTAATCAATATTTTTATCTAACTAATATGGAAGTTTTAACACATAACATATATCAAAAACAATATTTAAATAATTTGATTGATGTACAAATAATAACGGAAAATTAACACATATATGTGAAAAATATAAAATATTACCTTTAGCAATGCCAAGTAATACATCTGCAATAAATTAAAGTCCTTACGTCAACAAACAACATAGAAAATATACAAGCCTAATTCATTCCTTAATATGTCTCAAAGTGACCCTCTATTCCAAAAGCCATTTTGTAAAAGAATTTTTTTTTGTAAATTATATGTCATTTTATAATTTCAATATAATATTAAGAATATTTTTTTAATATATCTTTTATTATTTATTAATAAATTTTTCTAAAATCTTAAAAAAAATTTCATGTGTAATAAATAAAGACAATATTATAAAGTTGAATATAATTTATCTTTCTCGTATAAAATTAATTAACTTTTTTAATTCATGTAAAATGATGAATTTTTATTTTAATTTGAAATGAGATAGAATATAATAGGGGCAAATATTAATCACTCCAAATTTGCCTCTCAATATTTTTATTTTTAAACATTGACTTTTACTTTCATTATATATATATATATATATATATATATATATATATATATATATATATATATATATATATATATATATATATATATATATATATATATATATATATATATATATATATATATATATATATATATATAATTAATTGTTATATACTGTTACCCTTTTATATATAATTAAAAAATAAATTAAATATTTATAAAACTTTAACGTTTATGATTCTGTGACGCTATAAAAAAATTTTATGCCATCATAATATTCAAATGATATGAAGACGTCAAAGTTTACGATCATTTATAATAAATAGTAATCACTCAAATGTCATAATCTTAATTGTGCTTGGAATTTTCTAAAAAAACATAATAATATAAAATAAAACGGTATTTATAGGGGTGTTCAAAACCAAACCGGTCCAATAGAAAACCGTAAAATCAAATCGAACCAAATCAAAACCGCAAAAAACCGCATTTGATTCGGATGTGTTTGGATTATTTTCTCGCGGAACCGCACAGTTCGGTTCGGTTTGCGGTTTGTATTTTACAAATCGAACCAAACCAAACAAAACCGCATTATGTTATAAAATCTTACTAACCAATATATATTTCTTTAATTTTTTAGAGAAATAAACATGTATTATGTGTATATTTTATCATACTTTGTATTATATTCATTTTAATTTACAAATCATAAAAAAATAAAATATTATTCATTTATAAATACTATTTTCACAAAATATATTTTATCGTATTCTTTGTATAATATTTATTGAAGAATGCAATCTTGTTTATATCATTCTTTAGATTTAGATAAAATTATAATACGCGATTTTATGTATCAAATTATAAATTTATTTTGACAATTATAAATTTTTTTATGGTAATGTACGAACAATTAAATACAAAATTATATTTTCTTCTATATTTGTTTGTATGATTTAATAATTTTTTTTTTGTAAAAAACTGAACCAATCGAACCAATCCAAACCGCATTAATTTGGTTTGGTTTGGTTCGGATTTATTTTTAAAAGTCAACCGAACCAAACCGAACTGCATGTTTTTTTCTCTTGCAGTTTGGATGATTTTTTACTTCAAAACCGCCCAAACCGCACCGCAAACACCCATAGGTATTCATTTGGCCAATAATGATCTATAAATAAAATGTAAAATTAATTTAGAGTGAACTCCGTACCTTCCAGTAATACGAGCGGCTTCGATATCTGGGCTGAATAAAAAAGAAAAAGAAAATAGGAATTTAAATATAAAAAGTGTAACATCTGTATTAAATTTGAATTTAAGTAAGATTTGTGAAATTGAAAAGATGAAATTCTTACTGCAATTGACATAATCTCCGAATGGATATTGGCAATCATAATACGGCTTAGAGCATTCCAAATCTCGAGATGTTTGATTGAAGTAGCACGATAATTTATCGCCGCAAGTATCTCTACAAGGGCTAGTTATCCACGATAGCTGAAATCCATAGACTAGAACTCCATGAATTTGCTGGTATGAAAGGGGTCGATTTGGTAAATTTGATGACGAGATGGCAACTACCTTCACTCGGCAATAATCTTTTAACCTCCCGACATAAAAGATGTTAGAAACATCATCCTCCCGATACGTGTTGGCAAAAGCATAAAGATAGCTATTGGAGTCCCGGTTGATACAGGGAGATGTATCCACATACCAAGGATCATCCTTCACTGCTTTGCTACAGTTCAAGTATATTATGTTCTCGTACCCCAAACGATAATAGACTCCATATGGAACCCATTCCTCTTCCAATGAGTTAGCTGAGAAATTGGAACCGGTTAAGAAATATTGAGGAGTGGAGGAGCAATCACTCTCTTCAATCCCAGGATCAACTAATCGAATTGTGTAGTTTTTGTAGTTGATTTCCTGGACATAGTATTTCCCAGAAAACAGAGTTAACACTGTTCTGTTGTTTTCGCAGGACAACTCATAGCTCGGATCACCACAGGTTGTTGGGTCATTCATAAGTCGAAATGGGTATTTTATTTTACTGATTTTGCCGCATGAAGAAGGTTTACAATGAGTTTGGTTATTACTAATTGCATCACATGTTGGAGGATCATGATGCAATAGTAGAAGGACAACTATCATAACATTTTTCAGAAAGCTTAAAACTGATTCTGTTTCCTCACAAGAACAGAACAAGATTTTCCATATGCTCATGGTTAAATTTCGAGTATCCTAAAGGTTAACTTCTAAATCAGATATAAATATTGTTGGCTCACATAAAGACAAAATAAGAATATCACTTTTTTTAGAAAATTTTATTTATATAAAATAAAAAATTATTATTAACCAATTTATAATTAAATTTTTTTACGAATACAAATAAAAAAGAAAGAATTGAAAAATAATACTAGTATATAAGAATAAAACACGACTCCCATACCTCAGTCTCAAACATAAAACAAGTTGGACATGATTTTCAATCACATTTCTTCCTTCATGATGACAATATTACCAATAACATTGCTTTTGCCACTGCTTGTAATCCCATTCCCATCCATGGGATGTCCTTTCAATATATCTTGTACACATGATAACAACATGATTCTTCAACTACCTGCTATAAAACTACTCGTTAATCAAATTAACTACACAACGCGAGTATTAGAAGCAGGAGATCCTGATAATTGTCTTCCACGGCTCTTTCTTCACCACAATTTCTCTTCATTAATTTTTCCTTTTCGGATTACTTCGTGGTATTGGATTACTTCACCACAATACGATGAATTTACCAATATTAGTTTCTTTGATTGTTCTTCATTAGGACGACGTTATCTGATGAGCTCATACGGGCAGGACATGGTTTCTTGTCCAATTTATATGGCAGGATTTTACGAGGATATGGTTTTTACAAACCTTGTTTCCTGCACCAAACTGTCTCCACGAGATTCGCCACCCCTTATTCTTTCGGAAAATTGGGTATATGGGATACAACAAAACTCAATCTCACTGTCATGGTCGGAAACAAATCTCGACACAAGATGTTTGGAATGTAAGCACAAATCAAAGAAGAAGATTATATTATGCTCTGCAGGTGAGATACCTTCACTTCTATACTTAATTTTGTTTGATTTTGAGGTTGGTTCCAATTCACACTTTTTTGAGGTTGGGTTTATATAAAATTAATATAAAAATAGATAAACATGTTTTTATTTAAATTAGAAAATGAGAGTTATTATTAATAACAATAAAATTAATCACAATAGATCTTCTCCTTTTATTATTCCATCTCTTTCAACTAAAACATTGTGCAATACAAAAGATACAATAAAGAAAACTTTAAAATAAGAATAAAAAGAAGAGAAAGAAAATATTAGAAAGAAATAAAGCGAAAAATTGTAAATAAGATAATTGAAGAAAAAAATTGTACAATGAGATGGAATACCTATTTTCAAATACCAAAATTTTAAATAATTTATTTAATTTTAAAGTTATTTTAAATAATTTTTCATAAAAATAATTTTTAAAATATAAATTTTTGAAAAAAAAATTACAATTTCAATTATGCTTTGATATTCAATAACATATATTTTTGTTATATAATGTCAAAATTGATCTTTTAATTTAGAGAAACAAATATAAAAAACGTGTAATATTTTAAAAGAAAATTATAAAATCTATTTTTAAAAATATAAAAAAAAATCTATTTTTCTAAAGCTAAAACAAACCGTCCTAACTAACTATACAAAATATAAAGGTGAAAGAACTTAAACTTTTGAATTAAAATCAGGATAAATTTATTTTAATATGTTGGTGAAAATTATTTTAGAATATGAAATATTTAATTTGGCAGGTGTAATTATTGGCTCAATGGTACTTGTTCTTTTATTTGGTGGACTTTTTCAAATATATCGCTATTTGAAAATGAAAGACGAAGATCATGCAAGAATTGAAAACTTTTTAAAAGATTATAAAGCTTTAAAGCCAACTAGATTCTCTTATGCCGATATAAAGAGAATCACACACAAACATAAAGATAAGTTAGGTGAAGGGGCTCATGGAACTGTTTATAAAGGTAAGTTGTCGAATGAGATTCAGGTTGCCGTGAAGATACTTAGTAATTTAGAAGTAGATGGAAAGGACTTCATAAATGAAGTGGGAACCATGGGCAAAATCCACCACATCAATGTAGTTCGTTTGCTTGGCTTTTGTGCGGATGGATTTCATCGTGCTTTAGTCTATGACTATTTTTCAAATGGTTCGTTGGATAAATTCATTTCTCCACCAAACAACAAAGATAATTTTCTTGGATGGGATAAGTTACAACAAATTGCTTTAGGAATAGCAAATGGCATTGAGTATCTCCATCAAGGTTGTGATCAAACAATTCTACACTTTGACATAAATCCTCATAATGTCATGCTAGATGACAATTTCACTCCAAAGATTACAGATTTTGGTTTGGCTAAGATGTGTTCTAAAAATCAAAGTGTTGTATCTATGACTGCAGCTAAAGGAACATTAGGCTACATGGCACCTGAAGTTTTTTCTAGAAACTTTGGAAATGTCTCTTATAAGTCTGATATATATAGTTATGGCATGTTATTATTGGAGATGGTTGGGGGAAGAAAGAATACAAAAAAAAACGATGATGAAGAAAATATTCAGATTATGTATCCAGAATGGATCCACAATTTGCTTGAAGGAGGAGATATACAAATCTCAGTTGATGAAGAGAGTGATTTTAAAATTGCAAGAAAAATAGCAATTGTAGGACTTTGGTGTATCCAATGGCACCCTTTACATCGTCCAACAATGAAAACTGTGCTGCAAATGCTTCAAGGAGAACGGGACAAATTAAAAGTACCAAGCAATCCTTTCGGGCCTACAACTTCAACTAATACAAATGCTAATATTGTTGTAGAACGTATGAATTTGGAGCTGGATGTGATTCACGAATTAGATTAGATATATGTTAGTTATACATATATATTAAATAAATGTTCATTGTGAATAACAATAACATGTTGCTTTTTTTCAGAGTTTTATATTAATCAATTTAATAAAGGATAATATAAGTGGAGATCAACTTACACCATGAATAATTCTTGTTCAAGTTACAACGTCTATTAACGCTTTATAATATTAAATTTTACCAATATAACTATTGAATATTTTCATATTCCCTTAATTAATTAATGAATATATATATATAACAAAACATGTACATGTAGTAAGTGTCCGCCTAAAGGTATGTCGCCTAGACATGACTCCCTGCCACCAATGGCTCGCCTCATGGGGAAAACATGAACATTGGCGTGTATGATGTCCATAACCACATGTTGAAGCAGTCATAAAAACGATTCTTAAGAAGTAAGTTGTTCATGAACTTCATGGTCAAGATGGAAATTACTACTTCTTAGGATCCCCCAAATCTAGACACATAGCCCTCTATAAATACCTCAACCTTAGGATTATAAGGACAATATGATACACATACATAAAATGTTGGAACAAGTATGTTTCGTCAACTAATCCTTGGAGTTTTGATGATAACAAATACTTTTGTATGGAGAACAATTTTGGACTTTAACGGTTTGTTTAAGTGTGCAGATTTTTTTTATAGAATCTGGATTCTGAGTATGCAAGTTGTAGACTCTAGACAGTGTAGTTCTGGATTTTGAACTTTGGGCTATCCCAACTGTTCACCGTGTTTTCTGGTAAACAATCGCTGATCTTCCAAAAAGGGTAACTTTTTGGTTACTCGCAGGATCGATCAGTTTGATCCTAAGACATATGCTAATTTTTGATGTTGTTTGGACATAAATGTTAATGTGAGTGAAGAACGCACGTTCGACTGAAAAAGGGATAAGTTTGAGTGCAGAAAGTAAATAGAAAGAACGGGTTGAGGAGAAGTTAGGTGCAGGAATCTGGGTAAAAGTACAGATAAAGTGTAAATAAGATAAAGATGCAAGAAATGTAAAGAGAGAAATAAAAGACTTTGATTGTGTTTACCCTGAAAATTGGTAAACAACCGCTGATCTTCCAAAAGGTTACTTATTTGGTGACTCGCAGGATCGATCAGATTGATCCTAAGACATGGTTGATTTTTGTAGTTTGACTAATCCTAATGGTGATTAATGCCAGTAAAGTAAAGATACTTTAAGTAAATTGCATGGAGAAAAGCTTGATAGAATAAATAAAAGCGTTAAGGAATTGTTAAATAAAAGGCTTCGACGGAAGTAAATAAATGAACAACGGTAAATTGCTTGAATATAAAAGACTTTGATTAATTTAAATGGTGTTTCACACATACATTCTCAATGATTCTTTCTCTCACGCTGGGTACTTGAATCTAAATGAGTGACTTGTATAAAATGATGAACACACTAATAACTACATAAAAACTTAGTATTTATACTAAGAAAAATCCTAAGTAACCGTTGGGCAGTTACACCGCTTCGAGATGACGCCACATGGCACGCTCACAACCTTCGACGCCTATGTTCTCGACACGTTGCACTTGGTAACTGCTGGGAACCGTTTTTTCAACAATTCAAATCTCAAACCGTTCGACCTTGGGCATCAGGGACCTTTGTCGAGAGGTTTCTTCGACGTTGAAGACAACAAGATTCCAACTTAAAGGAATTTCTCTAAGTATCTTGTCATTCTTTGATGAGCCTTGACATGATCAGTTGGTCGAAGCCTTCTTATGTAGGAAACTCTTCTGACTCATAATTAATAGTCTATATGATAATAAACATGGATGTTGAATTTAGGAGCCAACAAATTGCCCCCCAAGAATGTCTTATTTCGACACTGAAAAGAAAAAGGCGTTCTTTGAGATTCCATTTGACACATGTCCTTCATTCTCAGCCACAAATTAGTTTGTGTGCTTTTCGTCTCCTACCAACCAACTGACAATCTCAAAAAGTCATCATTTCACCTTTTCCCAAGACGTCACTTCAGTAAGGCATTTTTGCACGCACGATGTCCTTTCAAATGCTGTCATCATGACTATTTCCCGAAATCGAGGATGCACGCTGCAATGTTTCCGTTCTTCAGAACGGTTACAGCACCAAATGAGTGCCACGTGCCCCACTCTTGTAACACCCTCTAAAACCCCAAGTAATTTTCGCAAATAATTAAAATTATAATTTCAGAGTACATGTATAATTCGAGGATGCTACAATTCTCTTTTAATAAAACAATTCCTGTCATGCATAATCTTAGTAGTAACTCATACATGTTTACACAGCGGAATAATTTATTTAATAAAACCCAAAGTTATAATATTTTCAATCATCAGGGATTAACACCTGGAATATATCAACATTATATTATAACCAAATACTAAGGAAATAAACGAGTCTGACTAAAGCAGCTCAACAAACAAACGTTCCCGGAGTTACAACTATCAGAGCATGACCCGGACAATACTAAAACGAAAATAAACTAGAACGGCAAGCCTTCGCCAAGCACCTGAACGAAGCTCCTCAATCTGAAAATATTCAACAGTAAGGGTGAGCATCTCAATTATACATTTGATTATACGTTCATAACAATCAATTCAGGAAATCATAAGCATCACCCAATAATTAGCATATTTCATAGTTTACAAAACCTGTACAATTCATATACCCATGATATATTGCTTTTCATATTTGCACATAATCATCAAACATCGTCAGCCATTTAGCAATTACACGTGCATACAAACAATCAAATACAACATTGAAAAAACCATCCATTCATGTCATATTCAAGGTAATGCAACACACCCATGCATGTGGTACCACTTTACCGCCCCATTAAATCTCGGGTCACGGATAACTCACCGTTCCATTATATCGCGGACACGGCTACCACCTCAACGTTCCATTAAATCGCGGACACGTATATTGGCTACCATGTTAATTCCTCACAATGGGAATTAACAAATGCAACATGATATGTAAGTATGTAACACTCAGCATACTATAAACATCAATCAACATATCATGCAACATTAACAACATCAAATCATAACGAGATATGGATAGCATGTAATCACTCAGCATACTATTTAAACATCAATCATATCAAGTCATATTATAAATTCACGCTCGATAACATTATCCAAAAGCATGGCAATAAAATCCAAAATCAGGCACTGAAAACAAAGTTCAGAAAAACCAATACAGTAACCTCAACACGGGTGCCCGTGTCGTGCAACACGGCCCGTGTTGGGCAATACGTCCAGAAAACACAGTTTTTCCTCATCAATACAGGGACTCAACACGGGTGCCCGTGTTGTGCAACACGGCCCGTGTTGGGCAACACATTCCAGGAAAAAAACATTTTATCCTTATCAGTACAGGGGGAGCAACACGGGTGCCCGTGTTGTGCAACACGGCCCGTGTTGTGCAACCAGAAGCACACCATCTCCCAACACAGAAGAGCAACACGGGTGCCCGTGTTGTGCAACACGGCCCGTGTTGCTGAGCGCGTACAGGATTTTCCTGAACCTGCAGCAGCTCAGAAACAGCAGCCAAACGCGGGAAAATGTCGGCTAAACGCGCATTTCGGTACCTAACGACATCGATGTTTCGCAACTCAAAACAACACGTTCATTTCATAATTACCAACAATTATTATAGTAACCTTAACAGTGATTACTCGTCTCTTTTTGGGGAATTTTTGACAACATTAAGGTTAGCCCTACAACCTCCAAGGTAAATTCACGATCATACAGATATACTCCCAATTCACCATTTGGAACCTAAAATTCCTAATCGATTCATAAAAATTGGGAACCTAACCATTTTCTACAAGGTTCAATCTTAAGGGTATTGATTCCCACTAACATCTAACAATTGGGGATTCTTCCCTACGATTACCCAAATTAACCATACATAAACCCATAAACAAAGGTAAACCGAGTAATAACCCCCCTTACCTTATCAATTAGCAGCTTTGAATTCTTGAGCGATGTTCTTCGTTCTTCGTACCTTCAGAGCTCTATTTCCCCAAATTCTCAACTTCTGTTTATCGTGAAATGAGAAAACTAACTTGAGTTCCAAAACATAATTTTATTTCTCCTGCACCCCCACTCTTTACTAACAATATCTAAGCCCAATAACTTAAAAACTCAGCATTTTCTTATTTCTTTTATTTTCCTCCATATTTCAAAATAAATAATTCCTTTTTATTTTATTAATCCTAATAAAATAATTTCCCAAATTTAAATAATTCAGATAATTGAAACTGGGGTGTTACAACTCTTGTCTGTGGCATTAAATGACCTCGAGCCTTGTGATTTTTTCAATCACTATAAATAGCACTAAGTGCCTCTGTTGGACTCTTTACGCTTTCTTGCATCCAAATCTTCAGTCGAACGAAATTTTCTGCAAGTAAACCTTTGCTTCTTCCTCTCCAAACCCAGTAATCTTTGTTCTTCATCTTCATCCATCTTCATCTCAAACCAAAAAAATGGCTTCACGTACTCGTGCTTCCAATGTCCCCAGATCTAGCACTCCCTCTAAAACTACTCAACCGGAAATCTTCTCAACCTCTCCGATAGTTAACTCCATGGGAATGCGAAGGGTTCCTGAACCCATGGGAGACGCTGAGCGTGAAACTTATGGTTTTCAACTGCTGATTCCTATTGGGTATTCCAACCAGGTTTTTGCCATGTCAGGTCCTCTTTCATCATGCATTGCTGACCCAACGAAAATCGAGGGTTTCTTCCCCGTGCATGAGGCACTCAAACCCATTGGGTGCTCAAAGAAGGCGACAAATGATACCGAAGATCCTGCAAAAGAGAAAATAGATCTTCGGTTTTTTAACAGGGAGGTTAGGGCTTTTAGGTCTAGCCCTAACCTTACACCAGAATACAACGCTTAGCTCAACAAGATGGAGAAGTGCCAGGCTTCGATCTGGAAAGGCATGGGGATTTATGACCTAGTCATGCTGTCCAAAACTGGTCT